CAGTTTGCGTCCCAGCTGCTCCACTTCTGATCCAGCTCCCTGGTAATGGCCTGTGAAAATCAGCAGAAAATTAATATCAGAAATGACCCCCTAAAATTACATATGAAAATGTTTCCCCTCAAAGTTCCCCAGAGGTCGAGTCTGGGGTGCCACATATGTTACCGGAATTTGAGGTGCCAGATGATATCACCATATGCTTATTAATAAATTCCCAATAGTAATATGCCCTAGAGGGTTCTTGCCTAATATTTAGAGAAGAATTCTAAATACTGGCATAAATGAATGAGGCAGCATGGTATGTTTTAAGCTTTTATGTAGTGTGAAAGATGCATAGGACAGTAAAGGCTTTAGTTCAGTTTAAGGAGAAGGGAAAATCTGGATTCATACTGAGTACCAGGAACCAGCCATGTAGAAGAGCATCTAGGCCAGGAAGCCTAGGGTGGGTGGCCCGAAGGCCACATGCCCTGGGGGTGCAGGGCTTCAGCCAGCCCCCTCCTGGCTAGAGGCCAGGGCAAAGAAGAGAGAGGACACACCCTGTTCCAGGCTTTTAACCCACTTCCAAAGGGGAGTGGTTAATTAACCTGATTGGCCAGTGGGCACTCAGGTGTGGCCAGGTAGGGGCATCAGGTCACACAGGGGTGTTGTGAAGGTATCAGGTAGGGGCGTGGTGAAGACGTGGTCTTCCAGCTCACAAACCAAATCGATTTTAACCTGTATGCCTACTTCACAAGTGTTTGGGACACTGCCACTCACATGAGAGACCCAATGAAGCTCCTGGTTCCTGGCTTTAGTAGTCTTGCCCAGCTCTGGCCATTGCAGCCATCTGGGGAGTGAACTTGCAGATAGATGGTATCTGTCTATCTCAATCTCTATCTCGATCCCACCCCCATAATTCAGACTTTCAAATAAATAAAATTCTTCAAATTTTTTTCAAAAAGAAATAAACACGAACCACTTAAACTTTCATAAGGTAAGCAAGAGGCTTACCGCACTCATACATTTAGGACCTAAGATATTGTACTGACTGAAAAAAGCAAAGTACATAAGAAAATTATACTTTGTGGTGTTTCTTAAGGCATATATGTTGTTTTCTAAATTTCTGAAGTATAATCATGAGCATTATTATATGTAAATATTTTTAACTTCTGGTAATTAATAGAGAAGAGGAAGTATGGTGGGGTAAACTTTTTATTCTCCATAATCTCTCCTTGATATTATCAGAAGCTTATAATTTTTTTGCTTGCCTTTTTCTGGAATTTACACTTTTAAGAAATTATGAAAATTCCCAAGAACCACTCTGAGAACCTCCACCACCAATGCTTGCAATCAGATATCTCTACAGCAGAGGGTGAGGTAGACACAAAGTGGAAAATGCAAAGTGAGTTGATCTACCTCTCTCAGGCTGTGGCTTCACTGCCCACCTTTAACAACCCACTGCCTTGTTTCTTTCTCCTCCACATTAGTATGACGCCATCCCACTTAGCCAAAAGCCAGTGGCAGCAAATAGCCCAAGGGGAAGTCATCAAATAAAAGGTTTCACTTTAAATAGCTCAGCTTGTCTTTAAAGAGATATAAACATGACAATTTTTAAGGATAGGTTTCTGACTGTAGCAGTTATCCTCTTAACTCTTAACAGTACTTATTGACACAAAAAATATAAACTGATGGATAGATTTCTCAATCAACCACATAATTTAAAAAAAATTGCCACTCAGCATCAGCTATCAGCATGAAAGTGTTCATGAAAAAAAGCAATTAACCTGGCCAGCACTGTGGCTCACTTGGTTAATCCTCCACCTGTGGCACCAGCATCCCATATGGGCACTGGGTTCTAGTCCCAGCTGCTCCTCTTCCAGTCCAGCTCTCTGTTGTGGCCCAGGAGGGCAGTGGAGGATGGTCCAGGTGCTTGGGTCCCTGCACCCGCATGGGAGACCAGGAAAAAGCACCTGGCTCCTGGCTTCAGATCGGCGCAGCGCCAGCCATTGCGGCCATTTGGGGAGTGAACCAATGGAAAGAAGACCTTTCTCTCTGTCTATAACTCTACCTGTCAAAATAAAAAAAAAAAGCAATTAACATTATTAAATACCTTTATTTATTAAAAAAAAAAGCTCTATGGTGCCCCTCATTTAAACCAGTTGCTTGCATGTATATATGCAGATTGACTTTTGCTAATATATGGAGAGCAATGTATTTCCCTGGCATGGAGCTCTCTGAAGAGTTTAAATGCTAATCTATTGCTTTCATTTCATTTGCTTATCACCAGACAGCATTTATTAAATATTTATCATGAGTTTCACACTCTACAAATCTGTATTAACTATCTTGATATTTGATACTTACATGTTTTTTTTAAAGATGTATTTATTTATTTGAAAGTCAGAGTTACACAAAGAGAGGAGAGACAGAGAGAGAGAGAGAGAGAGAGAGAGGTCTTCCATCTGATGGTTCACTCCCCAGATGGCTGCAATGGCTGGAGCTGTGCCGATCCAAAGCCAGGAGTCAGGAGCTTCTTCCGGGTCTCCCACATGGGTGCAGGGGCCCAAGCACTTGGGCCATATTCCACTGCTTTCCCAGGCCATAGCAGAGAGCTGGACAGTAAGTGGAGAAGCCAGGTTTTGAACCAGCGCCCACATGGGATGCTTGCACTTCAGGCCAGGGCATTAACCCAGTGCGCACAGCGCCGGCCCCATGCTTACACATTTATAACCTGAGCTAATTCTCATAACTTCCCTCTCTTGAATAGCTATGCCTTTCACATTATGCTTTTTTCACACATATGCAAATACAAAATCAACTTTAGTGTGCTACTTTAGAATTTATAAAAGGCCTTTTGTGTAAGACTTACATAACACTGAAAATCTTAGCTTCTAGGACTTGAACTTACTTGAACATGTGAAACTGGCAAAAAGGACTTGGTTTTCTCATTACAGATGAAAGAGGTGTGAAGAGACTGTTCCAATTGTTAGATTCTAGTGATCAGGCCCCAACTCTAATTAGGTCTCAGGTAGACACACATCTAGATTCTTCTTACAGTCTCTGTCAGAATTCCCAGCCTATGAGTGAAATTCAGTCTGTGAGTAAATTGTAATATCCAAGGTTCTCAGTCAAAAATTTAGAGGTTTGTATCGATGAGATGAAGCATGTGTCTATATAATACATACATTCAATAAATAAGTACTGAATCATATGGAAGTAAAATTGGATACAGAAATACCAGGCAAAGACTTTTTTGAGATGAAGAGCATGTTTAAAAAGTTACAGTCTTAGAGTTTTGCAAACATGTTTAAAATGTGACTGGAGCTCTTGTTTGGCATAGTGATCAAGCCTTCCACATCCCATTCAGAATGCTTGAGTTCAAGCCTCAGCTCTGCTTCTGATTCTACTTCCTGTTAATAGAACCCTGCTGGGCAGCAGGTGACGGCTCAAGTATTTGAGTCCCTACCACCTACATGGGAAGCCCTAGACTGAGTTCTTGGCTTCAGCCTGACCCATCCCAGGTTGCTGCAGACATTTGGAGAATGAATAATGAATGTAAGAACTCTCTCTGCATTTCAAATAAGTGAAAATAAATACACAAACCTTTTTTTTTAAGGCAGAGTTAGAGAGTGGGAGAGACAGAGAGCTCTTCCATCGCTGGTTCACTCCCCAGATGGCCGCAACAGCCAGGTCTGGACCGAAGCCAGGAGCCAGGAGCTTCCTCTGGGTCTCCCACGTGGGTGCAGGGGCCAAAGCACTTAGGTCATCTTGGGCTGATTTCCCAGGTGCATTAGCTTAGCAGGGAGCCGGATCAGAAGTGGAGCAGCCTGGACTGAAACTGGTGCCCATATGGGCTGCCGACGCTGCAGATGGACTCTTTTCTACGCCACAGTGCCAGCCCCACAGAACTCTGTTTTGTCTTCCTGATGTCTGAGTGGTTTTCCTTTACACCTAACTGTTCTCCCTAGTAACAACACAGATTTTGCTCTCCAAGTCAAACCTGGAGTTCTTAGTACTGGCAGCTCACCCTAAGAACATGCTGACTGGATCCAATATTCAAACACAGGTTTCATATTTTCTTCTGATAGATCTAATGCAAAGCAAGGAGAGTGTCTACAGTAACTAATGCCTTGCTGTTAACCTAACTGTACACTACAGGCCTGGGAGAGAACCACTGGAATACACACTGTCATATAGTATCCAAAATTGACTCACTTCATAGTTGAGGGACTCTGTCCTGACCAATCATTTAAGTCTTCAGGAGCAGGGAGGGGTGGTTTCTGAAGAATTTACAAATACAGCTCATTGAAGTAAGCTGCTCTCACCCCCACCGCACCCCTATACACATTGTTTTTGCCAGTTAAAAGTTTTGGTAAATTCTAAGCTGACCAGCAGTGACGGAGGAGGCAAGCCCGACTGCTTGCACTGCTGAACTCCAAGGACCCTGGTGTGTCCCAGTGCCAAGCTCACTGTGCCTCACTCTCCCTCCCTGCCCACCAGGACTCCGGGCTCCAGAGCTGACCCAAAAAGCAGGCCCAGCTCAGGTGTCGCCTTCGGACAAAGTCACTGTCTCCTGCTCTCTTCCCGAAGACTGCCCGGCCCGATGTTGCAGTTCCTGGTTCGCCCGCCCACCAGCGAGGGAAGCAGAGGCACAGTGTGTTCTTTCTGGAATCCGGCTCAGCCTGCAGGCAGGGATTCGGCAGGCTGGGCAAAGAAGGGTCTGAGCCAGACTGCTCCACAGGACTGCGGCCTGGAAAAACCCTTCGCCCTCAGCGCCCTGCCGCTGGAGGTGTCCCGCCAGACCATGTTCTAAGCCTTAGTCTCATGTGTCAGCAGCTCCCTGGCTTCCAGCCAGTCAGCAGCCTTCGTGCCCCGCGCCTGCTCAGGCTCTGCCCCTGCCGTAGGCCTCTGGCCAATCCTCGCTTTAGGAGGTGGGGCTGGCCCAGAGAGACCCCGCCCCCACGCCGGCAGGCTATAAAAGCTGTGGTGAACTGCAGGCCGCTACTCTGTACTGAGATCAGCGAATGCGAAGTGTCGTTTTTATGGAGATTCAGCCCGACTGTGGAGGTATGGACGAGAGCGTAGGCAGTGACACCAAGAGCGTGGAAAAGCAGGAGAAGATGAAACGGTCCTTGTGAGTAGGCGCCTCTCTGTCGGGTCGGCTTGCTGTATATGGGGCACTTTGGGAAACACTGTAGCCTGAGCCTCTGCAGAAAAACCAAGTGCACGATGCTAATTTACTCAGGGAAATTACATCTACGAGGGCTGTGCTGGCTTTGTGAGTGTGGACACTCGGGAGGGCTTGGTAGGAGGAGGGTGGAGGCGCGCTGGGACCTTATGGAGCGGCCTTCTGCGTGCATCTCATCACAGCTGAGAACCCTGGCCGACATCGTGTGCTTCTGCTGGGTGGCGGGAAATCATTTACCTTTATTTTAAAATTATTAAGATTGATATCTAAAGTGTTCTTGTCTGTTTAGATAAGAATTCTTGTTGGGAAAGTGACGCAGTCTTATCTCTGGCGAGACCTACACCCTGACACCATCCTAGGCTCTAGCACCCACTGCCATTGCTGCAAGCCAGGCGGCCACATGGCCCAACCACTGGTGTCAGCCCCACCCCCATCCTAATGGGATTCTCTGCTCCTCCTTCCCTGCCTGCCCCCTGGCGAAGTTTTAAAAGGGCCTGTTTCTGAACACGTGGTGCTCTGTCGGCTCCGTTCTCTCATTCCCCTCTCTCCTCTCCTCTCTCCCTCTTACTTGTTTTCTTTCCTTGCCCCTCCCCTCTAGCTTGCTGGGTTTTCCCCAATAAACCCTTTACCTTACTCCAGTGTTTGGTGTGTTTTGTGGTGAACTTACATTGGTGCCGAAACCCGGGACCTTACAATTCTAAATATCGAGTTTCTGTAAATCAGACAGCATGGTATGGCTTAGCATTTAGAGTGTGAGAGAATTACACAGGAAGGTGAAGGCTTTATTAAGAGAAAGGAATTAGAAATTTAAACCGGCAGTTGCATACCAGGCTTTTCCAGGGAGTAGGCCAGAGCCTGCAAGGGAGAGCCTGTGGGCCGGAGAGCAGCGGCAAGGCAAGTCAGCAGGCTCCAGTGGCATCCAGAAGGCCGCCCACACCAAGAGGCATGAGGTGAACAAGGGCCACGTGCAGGCCATCACAGGTCAGAGTCACGGGGAAAGGAAAAACCGTGCAGGCAGGAATGACCACAAAACCACAAGGTGCAGGCAAACAGATGAGGGGCAGCCAAAAGCTGTGCCTGGAGGCTTGGGAGAACAAGGGTGGGCCCAGCAGGCTCCACCCTTTTTATTCAGTCCCCAAAGGGGCATGGTTAATGGTTTGAGTGGCAGGTGGGTGAATACAGGTGGGATACATAAGGGGTGGAGGCGTGGTTTTCCAGTTCATGAATCTGATTAATTTAATCCGATCTGCCTGACCATATCAGGGGAAGAGCATTTGCTGGCTGAAGATCTCGTTTTGAGTCCTTTCTCACCTTTTCATGATAAAGCTGTTCTCAGGCAGTCATGACTGTGGAACAAATCTTCCTCAAAAGAGCACTGTAGGTCGGAGGGCCAGTGTCACTCCCTATGCATGGCCTCTGGTGCATCCAGGACCATGGGTGGAAGGGGAAGGAGTGAACTGCCGCTCTTTGTGGGCCAGAAATAGCTTAAGGTTTTCATTTTTTTTTTAAGGTTTATTTGAAGGTCGCAGTTAGAGAGGCAGAAAAAGAAGTCTTCCATCCTCTGGTTCACTTCCCTAAATGGCCACAACCACAGGGGCTGGGCTAGGCTGGAGCCAGAAGCTCTTCAGGGTCTTTGACTGGGTGTAGGGGTCCAAGGACTTGGGCATCCTCCACTGCTTTCCTGGGTGCATTAGCAGGGAACTGGATTGAATGTGGAGCAGCCTGGACTTGAACCATTGCCAATATGGGGTGGATGGCTTAACTCATAGTACTGGGCCCCAGTATGTGCTTTTTCGGTATGCAGCATATTGAGATAATATTTTTGTGAATTTTAAGGTAGTTCCTACCTTTACTCTTAACACTAGTAGTTATAGTCTGAGAAAACTATTCAGTATTTCAGTGCTGGGTTTAAATATTAGGTTGATAAGGCTGCTACTTGGTTTTGTCTCATTTGGTTTGCCTGTAGCTACTAGATAGCTTTATTGGATAAAAATACATTCAGCTGTAGTTGTGTTTTCAAGCATGGCCACTTAGTGACTTTTTTTTTTTTTTTAAGATTAAAAGATTGGAAGACACGATTGAGTTCCTTCTTGCAAAATTCTTCCACTCCTGGGAAGCCCAAAACCAGCAAGAAAAGCAAACAGCAAACTTTCAGCAAGTAAGTGAGAATCCTGTGCTCACAAACCTGAACAGCTCACTGCTGAGCTGGAAAGGGGACCTGATATGTGCCCTCTTAACTGAAAACTTCTCTTGCAGGCCTTCCCCAGAGGAAGCACTGCTGTGGTCAGAAGGATTCGAGGAGCTGCTGGCCAGCAAATGTGAGTTAACCTTGAATTTGATCTACTGCAAATATTGCAAGAGTCTAGAAAGGTGTGTCTCCACAGCAAATGAGTGGCTCACAAGAGGAGGAATGGACTGAATAGTCACAGGAGCCTAGAATATCTTTTTCTCCCCTTATTTCTTAGCATATTGACTCCGAGTGGGGAAGACAAATTAGCCTTAAACAGCACAGTGGCAGTGCTCTTAGTTGAAGTTGTCCACTTTTCCATTGCATATATTGTTTACAAGACACTTGTTCCCAGAGAATTTGTGGTTCCCCTGAAGACATTTTTTTTTGCATCAACAGCAAACATAAGTATTTGTTTTTATACTTAAGTATTTTGTCTACTGGCATCTTTATCTTTCTTTAAAATTTGTTAAGATTTTATGTAAGTTGTATAACTTTCATTTATTTCATTTGTATAGATTTTGGAACATAGTGATACTTGCCATGCTACCCTCCCTCCCACCCATGCTCCAATTCTTCTTCCTCTCCCTCTCCCCTTCCCACTCTTTACAATGAGCTACTTTCAGTTTACTTAATGATCATACAGTTAATCCTACACTAAGTAAGAGTTCAGCAAATGGTATGAAGAAAAAAAAACCCACTGTTCCTCAATGGAAGAGATGGGCTTTAAACAATCATTGAATCTCAAAATGTTCATTGCACTCTAATACATTACATTTCAGGTACTCTATAAGTTAACTCAGATCAGGGAAAACATATAGTATCTGTGTTTTTGGGGACTGGCTTATTTCACTAAGTGTAATGGTTTCCAGTTGTATCCATTTTGTTGCAAAAGACAAGAATTCATTTTTTTACAGGTGACTAGTATGCCATAGTGTATATATATACACCATAATTTCTTTAGTCATTTTTCCAAACTCTATGAGTTCCAGTAGTGTCTCAGTGGGGTCACCTACAAATAGGGATAGTTTGACTTCCTCCTTTCCAATTTGTATCCCTTTGATTTCTTCTTGTTTAATGACTCTGGCTAAACCTTCCAGTACTGTATTGAATAGCAATGGTGAGTGGGCATCCTTGTCTGGTTCTGGATCTCAGTGGAAATGCTTCCAACTTTTCCCCATTCAATAGTATGCTGGCGGGTGGCACCGTGGCTCAATAGGCTAATCCTCCACCTTGAGGCGCTGGCACGCCGGGTTCTAGTCCCTGTCGGGGCACCGGATTCTGTCCCAGTTGCCCCTCTTCCAGGCCAGCTCTCTGCTGTGGCCAGGGAGTGCAGTGGAGGATGGCCCAAGTGCTTGGGCCCTGCACCCCATGGGAGACCAGGAGAAGTACCTGGCTCCTGCCTTAGGATCAGCACGGTGCGCCGGCCACAGCGCAGCGGCCATTGGAGGATGAACCAACGGCAAAGGAAGACCTTTCTCTCTGTCTCTCTCTCACTGTCCACTCTGCCTGTCAAAAAAAATAGTATGCTGGCCATGGGTTTGTTATAAATTGCCTTGATTGTGTTGAGGAATGTTCCTCCCATGCCCAATTTTCTTAAGGTTTTCATCATGAAAGGATGTTATATACTATCAAATGCTTTCTCTGCATGTATTGAGATAGTCATATGGTTTTTCTTCAGTTTGTTATTGTAATGTATCACACATTGATTTGTGAATGTTGAACCACCCCTGCATACCAAGGATAAATATCACTTGTTCTGGATGAATGATCTTTTTGATGTGTTGTTGGATTCGATTGGCCAGTATTTTGTTGAGGATTTTTGCATCTGTGTTCATCAGAGAAAGAACTACAGAACAATTTCCCTGTTTCTTTTTCTTGTATAGGAATTAAGGTGACACAGGCTTCAGGAGTTTGGGAGGGTTACCTCCCTTTCAATTGCTTTGAATAACCCAAGAAGAATTGGAATTAGTTCTTTAAATATCTGGTAGAATTCAGCAATAAAGCCATCTGATCCTAGGTTTTATTTTTTATTGGGAGGCTCTTTATTACTGATTCAGTTTCCATCTTGGTTATTGGTCTGTTAAGTTTTTTATGTTTTCATGGCTCAATTTAGGTAGGTGGCTTGTGTCTAGGGATCTATTTTTTTATTTATTTGACAGGTAGAGTTACAGATAATGAGAGAGAGACTGAGAGAAAGGTCTTCCTTCCATTGGTTCACTCCCCAAATGGCTGCTATGGCTGCCGCTGCGCCAATCTGAAACCAGGAGCCAGATGCTTCTTCCTGGTCTCCCGTGCAGCTGCAGGGGCCCAAGCACTTGGGCCATCCTCCACTGCCCTCCCGGGCCACAGCAGAGAGCTGGACTGGAAGAGGAGCAACTGGGACTAGAACCCGGTGCCCATATGGGATGCTGGCACTGCAGGCAGAGGATTCACCAAGTGAGCCATGGTGCTGACCCATAGGGATCTATTCTTTTTTTCTAGTTTTCCAGGTTAGTTGGCATACAGCTCTTGATAGCTCTTTGTACCTCTATTGTTATGCTCATACCCCCACCCCCTCTCCTCCAAGCAGAGCAATGCCTAGGTGTTTCCCTGTGTTCAGTACTTATCTCTGCCACCATGTGAACCATACAAATGATCTGCACAGTCCTCACTATGAGCATAGTTCTCTAGCCTAGTGTAGTAAATTGTTCCCTATTCCAGCATCTTGGAATCCCAGCATCTTGTTCCCATCCAGCATCTTTGTCTTTAAAGATCTAAATTCTGAGGGCTGGCACCATGGCACAGTAGGTTAATCATCCACCTGCAAAGCCGGCATCCCATATGGGCTCCGGTTCTAGTCCCAGCTGCTTCTCTTCCTATCCAGCTCTCTGCTGTGGCCTGGGAAAGCAGTGGAGATGGTTCAAGTGCTTGGGCCCCTGCACGCACATGGGAGACCAGGAGGAGGCACCTAGCTCCTGGCTTTGGATCGGTGCAGCTCTGGCTGTTGCAGCCATTTGGGGAGTGAACCAATGGAAGGAAGACCTTTCTCTCTGTTTCTCCCTCTCACTGTAACTCTGCCTCTCAAATAAATAAAATATTTTTTAAAAGAGCTAAATTCTGAGGATTATGTGTTTGAATGAAATCTAGAAAATAGCTAAGTGATAATTATTTGGTTATTCAGTTCTTCATATTCTGTGTTCTTTCTCCTCCCATCTCTTCTATCTTTATAGATGGTGTGGCTGTTTTTAGGGCCTTTTTAAAATCTCAATTCTGTGAAGAAAATATAGACTTCTGGCTGGCTTGTGAAGACTTCAAAAAAATCAAATCATCCCAGAAGCTGTCCTCAAAAGCAAAGGAAATATATATAGAATTCATAGAAAAAGATGCCCCAAAAGAGGTAAGATAAAAATACTCATTTCAGCATAATGTGGACATCCTTGGCACCAAGAGGCAGCAAAAGAATTAGACATTAGATTAAACCAGGGGTGAGGAATGGTGAAAGGATATCTCCCCTGGCATTCTGGTTTTCAACTGTATCTGAAGACCTGGCAGGTGAAGCTCATCACATGGTACAGCTTCTTTTTGTGTTTCATTTTCAAATAGCAGAGCAATGGGAACTGAGTGATTCTCTAGGAATGAATACTGAGTAATCTGCTTTTTTGTTTTATTTCAGGTAAACATAGACTTCCAAACCAAAATCCTTATTGTCCAAAATATACAAAATGCTACAACTGATCATCTATTATTTTTCACTTTATGTTTCTGTGTGGGAGCAAACTGTTGAAATACTTACTTAAGGTATACTAAGCTGATCTTCTGTATATTAAGATAATCGAAAATGAATCTTGATGTGAATGGAAGGGGAGAGGGAGTGGGAAAGGGGAGGGTTGTGGGTGGGAGGGACGGTATGGGGGGGAAGCCATTGTAACACATGAGTCGTACTTTGGAAATTTATATTCATTAAATAAAAGATTAAAAAAAAAATGCTACAACTGGCTGTTTTACATCTGCACAGAAAAGGGTTTACAGCTTGATGGAGAATAACTCCTATCCCCATTTCTTGGCATCAGAATTCTACCAGAACTTGTGTAAAAAACCACAAATCACCACAGAGCACCATGCTATATGATTTGAAAAAGGGAGCCCCAGAGTGAGAGACATGTCTTTCTGCATCCTGAGGTAGAAGGCTGTCACCTACCAAAGAGAATGACATTGAATTCAGCCTGGTTGTTTGGGAAACATCTCTCAGAACTACTGATTCCAAGTTGGGTAGTGAATCAGGAAGCTGCTGACTATCTAGGAGAATCTTGTATCAGAATAACTTCCACTGCTCTACAGACACATGGAAAGAATATGTGGCCTGAATGTGGAGGGTCTCACTGGAAAAGCAAGAATATGAAATGGAAGATAACACAATTTATCCAAACACATGAAAAATCAATGTCTGAGATTATGTGGCCTTGGCTAGCTGGCTGTACATCTTTCCCTAAACCCGTCCATGTTACCACATAGTGGCTTTATTTTTCAGTTTTGAGTCCTAACATTAGCAGGTTTGCTCTGTGCAAGAGTATTGAAGCTCTTGTGACTCCAGATCATCCATACTATTCTTATGCATGGTTGAACCTGAAATGGTCTGTTTGAATTGCTAGATAGTTTGTGAAATAGAGTGGGTGCTCATGTGTAGAAAGCTACAGTGTCTGTTACAAGTGCCAAAAACTGTCTTGAAGGCAGCAGAAGTTTGAAGTGGTCTTTGGATATTTTAATACATTTTTTGATAAATAATGCCATTGAATGCTTGGAGTCCAGGTATGAGTTGATTTGATTTTAATAGTTGGAAATATGTCAAGCCCAAGGGGAAACATCTGTCTAGGGAAGCAGAAGCATCTGTTGCTGTGCCTGTCCTTGGAGAACTGGCATCCCCCAGAGTGATTCTCTGATTCTCAGATGAGGGTAGCAGGGAAGATACAATTTTCTAAACCTAAGTTACAGCACATCCTTAGAACCACCCTGTGTCAAGCCTCTTGGTATAATTTTTTAAAGATCAAGGTCATTAATAAGAACAATAGGACTTTGATTTAAAGCCCTTCATGAGTATTAAGAACCAACTAAATAGAAGTGAAGGGTGTGGAGACAAGCACCAATGTTAGGTTATTCAATTGCTCCAATGAAGAAAGAGCCAAATAAGGGGAACGTGGGCCTCCCTCTTTTGTCTTTTCCCCCTTGGTTCTAAGCTTTCTTTGACATGTTCCATGGAATCGTATTTTGGCAAATATCTGTGATGGGCTTATCTGGGCCAGTGATCTGAAAAAGAGTAGAAGACATGGTTGTCTACTGGGGAGGAAATGGAGAGAAAAGATGGAGACTCAAACCTTATTTTCTTAGAAACAGATTTCCATATGATCATCAAGGGTAAGGTCATCATCCACAACTTGACAGACTTTACCAGATCTACCTTCAGGATGTCCCAGGCACCCTGTCCTTCTCTTACTGCAGCCACCTGCTTCCTCGCTGGTGTTGTCATTCTTCACCTGGATCTCAGAAGGCCTCAGTACCTGTGTCCTGCTTCTGACCTGTTCTTGAAAATTTATTTTAACATCATTTTTCTCATATTACATTTATGCTCAGAAAACTTGGACTCCTTGGCTCTAAAATCATGGTAAACTCTTGTGCCTAAGACTACAATTTCTCTCTAATAGCTTGGTTGGTTTTCTGCCTTGCTACTCCTATCAGCAATATTTGATACAGGCTTTTTTTATGGGGCCCAAGATAAACTATCTCCTCTTATTGATCCAATTTCCCTCCCTCTTTCTCTGCCTTTCAAGTGTATTTTTTAAAAAGTTTTTTTTAAACAAAATACTCTGTTCACTTGAATTTTACTCATTTGTCAAGGCTCAGTTCGATTCATTTCCATGAACTATCCTCAAGGGTATATAAGTTTTCTTTCTCAAGTAAATGATCAATAACTGTACCATTCTGACATACTCTACTTCATTTTCAAAGTAATTAATAAAGTTGCAGTCTTGGAAGATATTCAGGACCCACTGCTCATTGATGATCTAATTAAATAATTGATTGGTTGAATGATGCACAAACTTTTTTTTAAAAGATTTTTTATTTGAAAAGCAGAGTTATTGAGAGGCAGGGGCAGAGAGAGAGAGAGATCTTTCATCTGCTAGTGCATTCAAAGGATGCAGCTGGGCTCAATCCAAAACCAGGAGCCTGGAGTTTCTTCCAGGTCTCCATAGTAGAGAGATGTATTTTGGAATTGGAATATCTGGGACTGGAACCAGTGCCAATAAGGGATGCTGGCACTGCAGGTGGTAGCTTTACATGCTACACCACATTGCTGGCCCCCAACAAACTCTTAATTGAAACTACATACAGTGGGGAGCCAGTACTGTGTTATAGCTGGTTAAGCCACCACCTGCAGTGCTGGCATCCCATATGAGTACAAGTTCCTTTCCCAGCTACTCCACTTCCAATCCAGCTTCCTACCAATGCCCCTGGGAAAGCAGCAGAGGATGGCCCAAGTGCTTGGGCCCCTGCACCCACATGGGAGACCTGGAAGAAGCTCCTGGCTCCTGGCTTTGGCCTGGCCCAATCCCACCCAGTGTGGTCATGTGGGGAAATGAATCAGCAGATGGAATATCTCACTCTCTCCCTCCCTCTCTCTCTTTCTCCTCTGTGTCTCTGCATTTCAAATAAATAAGTCAATCAAAAATGTGTTCTTAAAATGTAACTGAAGAAGAAGGCGCTGAGGCATAGTGAGTAAAGCCACTGCCTTCAGTGTCGGCATCCCATATGGGCACCAGTTTGAGACCCAGCTGCTCCACTTCTGATCCAGCTCTCTGCTATGGCCTGAGAAAGCAGTGGAAGATGGCCAAAGTTCTTGGGCCGCTGCTCCAAAGGAAGGAGACCTGGAAGAAGCTCCTGGCTCCTGGCTTCAGATCAGCCCAGCTCTGGCCATTATGGCCATTTTGGGGAGTGAACCAGTGGGTAGAAATTCTCTATCTTTCTCTGTCTCTCTGACTTTGCCTCTCTCTAACTCCGCCTTTCAAATAACTAAAATATTTTTTAAAATGTAACTGAAAACAAATCATTTAAATATTCTAGGTGGGACTGAACAAAAATATCCATGGGGCAAGAGCTATTTTCTCATAGGGTGAACCATTGAAGGAGTAGCACTTGATTTTGTTGTGCTTGTTTAACCTCCAATGGTATCTATTCTTTCTCCTTCACATATTCACTACCATCATCAAGGCTTCATTTGTGTCATGCCAATGTTACTTCATAGTTTATGTGGGTTCTCTCATATTAGTTTCCTTTTTCCAATTCATCTTACATATGGAGTCAGATTTCTTTTTTTTTTTTTCTTAAGATTTATTTGTTTATTTGAAAGTCAGAATTACACAGAGAAAAAGAGAGGCAGACAGGGAGAGAGAGGTCTTCCATTAGCTGGTTCACTCCCCAATTGGCCGCAAAAGCCAGAGCTAGGCCTATCCGAAGCCAGGATCCAGAAGCTTCTTCTGGGTCTCCCATGTGGGTGCAGAGGCCCAAGCACCTAGGCCATCTTCTACTGCTTTCCCAGGCCATAGCAGAGAGCTGGATGGGAAGTGGAACAACTGGGACTCAAACTGGCACCCATATGGGATGCCAGCAATGCAGGCAGTGGCTTTACCAGCTGTGACACTGTGCTGGCCCAAGATTTCTTTTAATAAACACCTATTTTACCATATATTGTTTTCTCTTCAAATATTTCCAAAGTACCATGGAAAGAGCACTGGATTTAAGTTAGTGAATAAGATTCTGATCATACAGCATTAACTTCCTGGTTAACCCAGTAACCATCATCCCTTGGGACCTCAAGTTACTTCATCTCTAAGGGAGTTGACTAGATCGATAAAAATGCTTCCAGCTCCAAAATTCTGTCTGGATTTGGATGTTCATTAGAATATGTCCCTACCCTGACGACTTTATTTTTTTTTTACCAAAAATATCTAACATAAAATCATGGCTTCTATCCATTTGCTGCCTTCCTGATTAGAATAAACAAAAACACCATGATTTTACTCGTGGTGACCTTCTGTCTGGATTGCTCCCTCTTCCCTTAATCTTCCCACATCTGACACATTCTTCAAGACTCAGCTCAACATCTTAAGGTACAATAGTTCATTAATCTCCGGCCCAACCTCAGGTTCAAAATATACTTGTTGAGTACCTACTCAAATAAGGCCCTAGTGACACCTAGAGGAAGAAAGGAAATTCCTGCCCCTGTGGAATTTACAATCCATTGGGGTCAAAGGTAATGAATAAGTCACAAAACAAGGTAGTTCTGGATTTTGACAAATGCTTGTGAGAAAAAAAAAAAAAACTAAGTGATGAGACAAAAAGACTTGACTGCCTGGGAAGGCACATTCTATATGTTTCATGAATTTTTTTAAAGGTATATTATTTATTTGAAAGACAGAGTTACAGAGAGAGGTAGAGACAGGAGGTCTTCCAGCCGCTGGTTCACTCCCCAGAGGACCACAAAAGTCGGAGCTGCACCAATCCGAAGCCAGGAGCTTCTTCCGGGTCTCCCACATGGGTGCAGGGGCCCAAGGACATGGGCCATCTTCTACTGCTATCCCAGGCCATAGCAGAGAGCTGGGTCAGAAGAGGAGCAGCCAAGACTAGAACTGGCACCCATATGGGATGCCGATGCTTCAGGCCAGGGCGTTAAGCCGCTGAGCCACAGCACCAGCCCCTCCATGAATTTGTATTGACTGAACAACTAAACTCCAGACTCTGCCTTTTAATAACAAATCCTCTTTGAATAGGATAAATGTAAAAGTTATTTTAGCTAGGTCACAACTTCCTCTTAGTTCCAAAATAATCTTTGTCTATAAAAATAATCTTTTAATCAAAATACAGTATGTGATATTTTAAAATTTGAAATCATTATTTACCTTTTAGAATTTATGTATGTCAAGGGAACAGATTTG